GGGGTGCAGCCCCCCGGCCCTGCGGGTGTTGGGGTGCCGGGCTGCGGCCTGGGGCGCTGGGTCACCCTGCAGCACAGGGTCCTTCTTGGGGACCCCGGGCACGGTTCCTGGCCGAGCGGTGGGGTGATCGGCTGCTGGCGGGAGCCTGAGCATGGGGCTGAGGCTGGTGCCTTTGCAGTCCTGAGAGCCCTGGGCAGGCTCTGTGGCAGGGGGAATGGTCCCCTGCGGCCATCTCCAGCCATCCTGCTTCCTCACCTTGTGAAAGGCAACCTAGACCTGTAACTACATTTCTGAGCTACCGTTTGGATTTGCCATCCGATAGTTCTGCTTCTCATGACAGCAGAGCAAAAATCGTTGGGTACAGTGGTCAGCCAGCATGCTCTCAAAGTGGTAGGACCCCGAGTCTGTCGGAGATGGCAGGGCGTTAATTTTCCCATCCTGTCATGTTGTGAGGCAAAACAGCCACAGGGACGCAGCTTGATTAAGGATTTATCGCTGGCAGCTCTCGGAGCATTTGCAGTGCTAAGCTAACGTGTTCCTGTTACAGCATGTGACCTCGTTAGCCGACTGGGGTCCATGTTGTGTGGGGAGTGCGGGCAGAAGCGGCGGGGAATGATGGACATCAGGTTCTGAGAAATGTGCAGGGAAGAGAGTGGGAAGCTTGTGCGTGCTCCCTGTAGAGCCATGTATGCTTTAAGGGAAAAAAGCCTCAAGAAAATCTGTGGATAGTCTTATGTTTTAACACGCAGGAATCATCTGCTGAGGCTCCGCATATTGGGAATTGCCCAGTTACATACCAGATTATTCACGAAGTAAGAACTTAAGCTTTAGAAGTTGTGAAAGAAATGAACATGGGTTTTGTGGGAAAGCACTGGCTTTCACAGTGTAAAATGCTGCTCAGCTTTCACAGCGTTCTTCACTGGCTGAGTTACGTTCTTTTGCTGGTTTATGTCACTGTCAGAAAAGTGACAACGTTAAACGTCTAAAACATTTGAGAACTTTGCAAAGAGGCAGAGAGGCACCAAGGCTGATAGTGCCCAGCACATCTATGACTACTTGTGTGTAAAATAACCGGCGGTAACGCAAGGTTGGGTGTCGTGCAGTGGAACCGCAGGTCTAACTGGTAACTCCTTGCTTGCAGGAAGAGATGTCGGGAGAAAGTGTGGTGAGCACAGCAGTGCCGGCGGCTGCGACTCGCACTACCTCCTTCAAAGGGACTAGTCCGAGCTCCAAATACGTCAAGCTGAACATCGGCGGTGCCCTCTACTACACCACCATGCAGACCCTGACCAAGCAGGACACCATGCTCAAGGCCATGTTCAGTGGCCGAATGGAAGTCCTCACGGACAGCGAAGGTAAGGGGCCGCTCCCCGCGTCCCTCGCACCGGCTTCCTTCCTCTTCAGGGGTTGGAGAAGAATATTAAGAGGACAGAGAAGGACTTCTAATCACAGGCCCAGATATTTCTACATTTTATTAGTGTTAAAACTTGTAGCTATACAACCAAGAAAAGGTGTGGAACAAAAGACACGTATGACTCGAACAGTTGTCTAAGCAACAAAAGGGCACTGAGGAGTCCCAGGGCTCCCGTCAGGCCCAGGTGGCACAGGCTACCTTTTTCTTTTGAAATAGTAACGCTAAAGCTCTTAAGCATATGGAAAATGGTGGGGATAATGATTGAGAAACTATGAGTCAGGACTTGCTTATGTACTTTGAATCTCAGAAGGCAGTTTCCTCATCTCGTTTCCTTACCTCAAAGACAAGTATAAACTTTACTCTGAAGATTGGGGGGGGGTTATGAGCTAAAAGCTGATTTTTTTAAATGAAGCTATTTTCTTGTGAGAGCATTGATTGTTGGCTTCACCAAAACAAAACCGGTTGCGAAATTTTCAGAAAATTTGCTGTAGTATTAGTGACAGTGAAAGGAGAAAGCTAGCAAACGGGTCTCTCCGTGTTAAATGTGTCTGGAAAGAAGGAATGTGCAGTATGCCAAACTACAGTCTTCTAAAGGAGCAGCGCTCAAATACTTCACTTCCTTACCAGGATAAGTGCAGATACGTTGAGTTTATCTTCTGCTGAAATTCTTTAGAACATTTATGCTTAAATTAATAATATAGCTAAACTGTGTTTGTGATAACTGCAATGGGTAGCGTAGTTTTATATCAGCATTCTTGTATTGTGGGAGCGTCACAGAGTTCAACTGGACGCACAGCTTTCTATTTATACGCTGATGTTTTGCCCATAACTTATGTTTCTGGACTTGGATGCCTTGTCTTTAACCATAGCTAGTGCAGCGCTGAGCCTAAAGGTTCAAAACACCTTTCTTGTGACTGGTTAATTATTTGAAAATTTTGTTTGAACTCGCTGAAAGCATCGAAAATGTAGTGCGTGGTTAGATGAATCGGACTTAGTTCTGAGTGCTTTAGTCTGTATTCAGAGGTCATGTGGAACAAGCGATGGATTTCGTAGGGCTCTTGTGATAAGCTTTCTTGAGAGAGGAAGAAGTGGATTTGGAGGAAAATGTAAAAAATACAACCTAATTATCTGAATATTCCTGTTTTAGCTAGAAGTCCTTATATTTAAGCTGGGGGAAAAAGCTGCGTTGTTCTGGGTGTTACACCATGCCTTTCAGTTTCAGCTGCTGTTAAAAAAAAAAAAAGTAAACCACGTTGGCGCTGTGGTTTGTGGGCTCCAGATCAAAGGGTCTCTGGGCTGCCTCTCGTGGGTCTGTGCAGGTTGCATAAAAAGCCAGCCTGTGGGTCAAATTGTAAAAAAAAAACCCTGTCAAATGGGAATCGGCGCTCTTACTGGGAAGACTGGAGGGGTGTTCTAGTGGAAGGGTTGCAAACCAGTTCATTAAGATTTCTCCCCTTGCTGCTAAGCTTCGGGCAACTCCAAAAGTATCCTCCCGTCCGTCCCGAAAGCTGCTCTGTGTTTCATAAAATTTGGTAATTCGAGACTTTCCAAGTCCTTCAGTTTGGAAGCGGATCAGAAATTCCAACTTAATTTTGGAAGCCCGCTCCAGCGTGGACTCAGCGCTTCCTCCGGGCGTGCTGGGCAGGTACCGCGCAGGGCTGGGGTGTGGCAGTCCCAAGGCTCGGAGTCCGTGTACGTGCGGGTACTTCTTGCTGGAGAGCAGCTGACGATATTACTGCTGATATGAGGGTAACTGGAGTTTAACCTGCTAAAATATCGTGCTTGAGACATCAAATCACAAGTTCATTTTGCTGTGAATCCTACGGGGTGTGTATGTGATTGTTCCATCAAGCAAGTTTGTGTTTTAATAGGAATTTGATACTTCCTGTATGTTGTAACCGAGACACTCCCATTGCAAGAGTTCTTGCTTTATCTCCCCTCGCCTGGCGAAATGCTGGGAACTGGGACAATAGCATCATAGCTGTTAAAGGAAACTCTTTTTATCTGAAATTCTTCAAAATACTTCTAATTGGTCACACCCAAAGTCTGGCACAAAACAAAGCGTTTCATAGCAAAAGAAGCCAGACTTGCAGAGAAACTGGAAGGAGTAAAGTTTTTAAACAGCCTGCGGAGTGTCTCACACGGAGTCCTCCCCTTTGTTTAGATGCATTCTTCTGACCCCAGCACCAGCTCCCCAGCTCTTCCTCAGAGCTTAACAATTACAGCATGCTGCTAGTTGGGCCGTAGGAGAAGGACTGGAGTTCTCTGGTGGTGGGTGGCAGATGATTATTTTCAGCTTAGAAATTGTTTGTGAACCGTAGCAAATGGGCATATTTTGAAAATTTTATTTTTACGGTAATGAGCAGACAGAAGGATGTGAGTTTTCCAGGTGCATCCATCTGTTTCCAGTTTTCTGTAGTGTGATTTTTTTTCCTCACTCCCCACTGCTGTTAACCAGTTCATCCAGGCGCATGTTTTCCATTCGGCTGCTAGTAAGACTGTTGAGCGTCAGGCTACTATTTCATCTGTCAAGGCTTGGTCAGAAAGTGTCATCTGGTTTAGTTTGAGTGTTTGGATGCTGTCTCTGAGGCTTCTTGTAAAACAAAAGATGAATTTCCTAGAAGTCTAATGCGTGCACATACAGTTCATGGATTAGGTATTCCTACCTCAGCAAATGGATCACAGGACGTTTTTGGAACACATGAAAAATGGCTTTAAATGACGATAGCTGAAACCCGCTTGCTGGGCTCTGCAGAGCCGTGACTGAGTGGCAGCAGGGTTGCTTTCCTGTGAGTCATCTCACTTTGGCTTTACGCTTGGCTCTTTGGTTAAAACAGAAGGTTTTTTGAAAGCTGTTTCAGCAGTCACTTGTATTTTGCAATGCTGCTTGAAATATCTTCTCATCCCCCCCCCCATGAAAGTGAGCAATTCTGCTTTGGTTTCGCCATCTGTAAACACAAGGTTGCAGTAGATTTTTACAGCCTACAGAGGGAATCACAGCAGAGATGATAACAAAAGAATTTGAGGGATCACAGGCCTGCTCTCAGCCTGCCCTTTTCCTCCCCACATGTTGGTGTATGCTAGTAAACTCTGTCAACGGCTGCATTTGTGGAATATGGATGTCCTTGTTTATTACCATGGCTTGTGCTCCCTCTCCTCTTTCAAATAGGAGATCTTGCTTTACGTACCTCTGCATTGACAAATGGGCTTTCTTCTGCTCTGCTTGGTTAGGTATAGCGTATTCATAGCGTATTCATTAGCCTCGATCAGTCTTCTGTTCTTTGATTTCTCTGTCTCTAGTTCTGCCTCCAGCTTTCTAGTTGGTTATTACAGTCTGCAAAGTTACAATTGCGAGCACACGTTGTATTTTATGGAGACAGCAGGGTAACGAGGGAGGTGGAAAGCCTGGAGTAAACTGCTGGAGAGCATCTCAGTTTTCTGCAGAACAGCATGAAAGGGCTGTGTTCATTTTCCAGCTTGAACCAAATGTTCAGACTTTACTAGCAATTCCATTCATGCAGAACATATAAGGGTCTGCTTTAACCTACTTTCCTTATTTGTCCAAAATATGACTCCTTCCCCACAAGTGTTTCCTCGCTGCATTCCTGAGCTGCAGCCTGTAAGAGTGGCCATCTGTTCGTTTATGGAAACTCGAGCCTCCGCATTGCCTAACAATTCTCAGCGTCCGGCCTGATGCAGGCACCAGACTGGCAACCAGGGGCGAAGCACGGATCCCTCGATCGCCAGTTAACTGGAAAACGTTTCAGTTGTAGCTCTGTTTTCTTTTCTTCACACTGTTGTCAGGACATAGCAGCGCTGGTGAGCTCCAGGGCAGGGGCTGTATGTGACATTCTGCTTACCCATGCTGTCGTGTCATGACTTGCAGCAATTTTAGACGTGCTAAGAACCACTTTTTCTATCAAATTAAAGCACTTTGGGAATATAGAGACCGAAACAGTGTTTCCCATGACACTGCCGAAGTCTGTGCTGCCTTTCTCTTGCTGACCTTCTTGCACATCCACTGGAGGTGGTGGATCAGGGTAGGTCCCCGTGTTGTGTTGAGGTGCAACAGCCTTTAGGTAGTGACGGCTGGTTGGCTCTAGCAAGCTGTCTGTAAGAAACAGCCACACGTATATGTAACAGGGCCCTAAGACAGAAGGCAAGAAAATAATAAAAGTGTCAGGGCTTCAAGAGTAAAGGAAGAACAGAGCTGGTTAGTTTGAGAATGAGAAGTATTCATTCCTCTGTGCCAGTTAATCATTTGTCAACAACTGGGGAACTACGAGAAACAAGTGAGCTCCCTACCTTACTCCCTCACATACTCTGCACTTGAAACGCAGAAGGAGACGATGAATTCCCTGTGCTTTTTGCTCCTCTGCTCGCCAGTTCAAACAAGCTCAAACTCTCTTGACAAGAGCCTGCTTGCTACAGCAGCCCCAGGCCTGTGTCAAGGCCTTTTGCCATGTTTGCCTCTGCTTCTGCTGTACTGTGGTCTTCTTCTGTCCCTAGGCTGGATCCTGATCGACCGCTGTGGAAAACACTTTGGGACAATACTGAACTACCTGCGCGACGGGGCTGTGCCGCTCCCTGAGAGCCGCAGGGAGATAGAAGAGCTGCTGGCTGAAGCAAAGTACTACCTGGTCCAGGGGCTGGTGGACGAGTGCCAAGCAGCCTTGCAGGTAGGCTGCAGAGCTAAGGAGGAGGCAGGTTACTCTGGCTGCAGTGAGGGTCAAGAAGAGGAGGCTGCTCTGGGTGGGAAGCAGCATCTGGGCAGAGCAGCTTCTTGTAGCCACAGTAGCCACAGGCTGCTGGGAGTCCCCTTTTGTTCTGATTTCCTCTGAGGTGCTCATCTTAGGTTTGAGGCTGCTGTTACTGGCGTCCTCTTTGAGTGAAGCCACATTTCAGACCCTTGCCGTTTAAGTAGGTACATAACATTCACTCCCTGTGTTTGCAGAGTGGTAGAGAGCAGAAATGAACATCTCAGGTGGTCCCAGAGGAATGCTGTGCAGTAGCTGGAGTGCCTTGTTCTGATTTCCTCTGAGGTGCTCATCTTAGGTTTGAGGCTGCTGTTACTGGCGTCCTCTTTGAGTGAAGCCACATTTCAGACCCTTGCCGTTTAAGTAGGTACATAACATTCACTCCCTGTGTTTGCAGAGTGGTAGAGAGCAGAAATGAACATCTCAGGTGGTCCCAGAGGAATGCTGTGCAGTAGCTGGAGTGCCAGCCTGGTTCAGAGCATGGACCAGAAATGGCCACTCAGTGCAGTGTGGGGACAGATTGCCCACTGAACTCCTCAGCAGGGAATATGCAGGGCCTTCCCAGTTAATGTGAGCGTGCCCTAAGGCCTGTTTACATTCAGCTGCTGTTTGATTCTTGTTTCAGCAGAACAAAGATGCATACGAACCATTCTGCAAGGTACCAGTCATCACATCTTCCAAAGAAGAGCAAAAACTCATAGCCACTTCTAACAAGGTAAGAGAGGCCAGGCTGTGCCATGGCTTGGGAGGGTGCTGGCCTGCTGCCCCGGGCTTGCACGGGACCTTCACCAACTATTCTTTAGGAATTGGTCTTTAGTTTTCAACAGTGGGCTTACTCTAAAATACATGCACTTCAACCAAAAAAAAAACAAAAACAAAAAAACCGAGTTGCAAAGCACTGAAAGTCTACAGCGGACTAAACATGTCTTATGAATTAAAAGTCAAATGTTTGGCTGAGCCTGGCCATGTATTTCTCCACGAGGGCGTAGGCAGTAGCAGGCTGATCAAGCAGATCCTCAGGGCTCTTGATCTTCCATTTATTTGTCTGCTCTGGTTATTAGCAACACTCTCTTTAGCTAAAGTGAATCAACGTCTCCTGTTTCTGGAAGCCTGCTCGCTGTGGCAGGCAGAGGGGAGGATGCTGGTGATAACAATTAGCCTTGGCCAAAAGGCAGAGAGTGGGTAAGAATAGATTCTGATCTAGTCACAGAAGGGGTCAGAAGGGGTTGCAGCCCATGACAGTTTTGCAGCAACAACAGTAATAACAACAACAAAATCCCACAGGGCTTGGGCCTGATGGTGTCGTATTGTATTGCAGCTTCTCTGCTGTGGGGTCTTGGACTGAGCTGAGATTCCAGCTCTTACTGCACTTCCTGTAACTGATCTGTGGTTTGTTTTTACAGCCAGCAGTGAAGTTGCTATATAACAGAAGCAACAACAAATACTCCTACACCAGGTAAATGACTTCAGTTGGACATCTTCGAAGTTTTTCGTAGACCAAAATCCATGATAAACATTTCTTTTTCTTCACTGAGAACCAGTGACAGATTGGTGCTGGCATGCATTCAATTTTTTCCCAGTTAATGTCAAACTTTAGTCAGAAGGGAGCCTACTGTCATCAATGGAAGGCTAAGCGAGTGCTATTCCTGTGCCAGAGGGGTTCCTCCAGTACTTAGGTGCAGCTGGCAGAGACTCCTGCCAACTGCTGGCCTGCATTCCCCGTGGGCTACAGCACATTAGCTGAATACAGGAAGCCTTCCACGGTGCAGCACTCTCAATAAGTGACAAAATCATCAAGTCTGGAACCTTGTCCCCCTTTCCTTACGTCTGTGTGTGTTACATGACATAGCGCTGTTTCCATCCCGCCGGTGCTGAGCTTGAGCTTAGGAAATGGTTTCATTTGGGTGGTAGAATTTTGTACACAAATGGCCTTGGACAGTATTATTCACAGTACTGTTGATTACTGCTTCTTCAGCAGCAGGTTTTCCTGCTTGTACTAGTCAAATGAGTTATCCACTGCAGTCCTGGATCCCAACTGTAAACGCTACCTTGGTAGAGACACAGTAAGTCAAAGGAAACCGGGCATCTGGGCCTGTAAACGCTCACTGCCCGAACCCCCCTTCTGTTCTTTGTGCTGTCCTCATTACCCTGACGTGACTGCTGCCTGCCTTCGTCTCTCACAGCAACTCCGACGACAACATGCTGAAGAACATTGAGCTCTTCGATAAGCTGTCCTTGAGGTTTAACGGGAGAGTGCTCTTTATAAAAGACGTGATTGGAGATGAGATCTGCTGCTGGTCTTTTTACGGGCAGGGACGGAAGATTGCCGAAGTCTGTTGCACTTCCATTGTTTATGCTACTGAGAAAAAACAGACAAAGGTACGAGTAAAGCCCTGAATGCTTCCAGCAACGGGCTGAGCTGCTGTCAGACTGGCATCCTGACATCTGTTCCATTTTGAACACTCCTTTTATTGTTTAGCCTCTCTATAGAATAACCAATGCCATTCAAAGTGGGAGCAGCACAGTGGAGCTCATCCTGTGGGTTCGTTAGGGCGGGGACTGCTTGGCTGTGGCACTTCACACAGGGCAGTTGGGATAGTCTGTAGTGCAAGTTCAGTCTGGTTCTTTCTCTTTAGACAAACTTGCACTTTTAACCAAGTTTGGTTTACATCCCTGCGTAAAGAGAGGTCCTGGTGAGCAATCGCATGCCTTCCCTGTGCTGCCTTACCTTTCCCAGGAGACACCTGGCCGAGTCTGCCCTGCGGGCAGGCCAGTTCTGAAAAGAAAACTGGTTGCTGTGTTTCAAAAGCTGAAAGCGAATAATAGAACAGAAACGATTGTGCTAGGAAGGATTTCTGTGGCTAGAGTGCACTTAAGAAAATTTTAAACACGGAAAGGTATCGGGAATTAAAAATGAGGTAACCTGGTACCTGCAGTGACTGGCAATAGGTGAGAGTGACCTTGTTTCTCTTGGGTGGGCAGGTGGAGTTCCCAGAAGCCCGCATTTACGAGGAGACACTGAACATTCTGCTGTACGAGTCCCAGGACGGGAGGGGACCTGACAACGCGCTCTTGGAAGCCACAGGAGGGGCAGCTGGCCGCTCCCATCACTTAGATGAAGATGAGGAGCGAGAGCGCATTGAACGCGTGCGAAGAATTCATATTAAACGTCCGGATGACAGGGCCCATCTGCATCAGTGAGGCCAGCGACAGCCGCAGACTGCGCAGCTCTGCCTGGGAGGCGCTGCCCTTTGTCTGATCGATTATCTGCAGCAGGGGACCAGGTGGTTTAACTTCTGTTCGGCAAAGTCTGTAAATTACATTGTGTAACAAACTAGATTATTTGGGGTATTTAAATGCAGTAGTTCTAGGACAAGAATAAATAAGGTTACTGGGCATACGATAGATACGGTAAGGACCTATTGAGCGTCTGGACAAATGCCCTGAATTTTCAGCGCTCGTCTTTGCTATTTTGTGGCTAGAGAGGAAGAGGGCTGGCTTCCTTTGGCTTTAGTAATTATCCTGCACTTTAAAAACAAAACAAAACAAAAACAAGAAACAAAAGGTCAGCCAGCCATCTACCTTCCCTCCAGGCACTCACTGACCCTGTCTCCTCCTAGGGGGGTTCAGGTGTGGGAGAAATGCTGCTGCAGAGCTCCCTTTCTCCCAGGCCTGCAGGTGATAGGGTTGGTAGCTCAGGGGTGCCTCGGCGTAACTCCCAGAAGGACAAATGACACAATTCCTGCAGTGCTGGGGGGCAGAGGGAGCCCTCTCAGAGTGGTGGGAGGGCGCAGGGGGACTAGCACTGAACCGTGGACCCATCCTCAGTTTATCTGTGCAGTTCAAGGGTGGAAGATGTTAAAATTCCTCCAACAGGAAGATCAGTAGCAAAGCGTACGTGATTGCTTTCCTTAGGGTGGTGTTGGTACCGGTTAGCACTTAGAGCTTCTGCCTGGCCCCAGGTCTCAGCTCTCAGGGGAGTTTATTTCCATCGGATCGCAGGTCAGTCAGCTGTGCTCTCTTTACTACAGGGAAAGCAGTAGGCATCCCAGGTTCAAGCGCTCCATGCCAGCCTAGCGTCGGTAGGAGGCCAGCAGCCGTAGTTCAGTTTGTAATTGATACAGGAGCATTGTCTGTCCTGCTCGAGCGAGGGCAACACGAGTACCATGGGGAGGAGGAGGCGGCAGCAGTGGCCCAGAGGCAGTTATTCCTTGTTTGACTTCATCCTGAGCATATTCCAAGTCTTTTCAGAAATGGCAGCTGCGTGTGAAAGGGCAGAGCTAGAATGTTGTGCAGAGAAAACCAGGCTACAGCGGTCTTCGAAGAGTACTTTTCTATTATAGATGAATGTGTTATCTACCTCCTCGGCTCTTGTTGCCTCTTGCGGAGTCGAGTAACAATGGCAGTGGAAGATCGTGTGTTATTCAATAGGCCTGGATGCTAAAGGCCAATGAGCAGAGCCACAGCTGTAATGGTTAAGGTAACGGACCCCGGGAGGGAGAGAAACCCGACATAGGAACTCTTAAACTTGCGAGCAGGCTGGCACCTTGGCAGACACCCGAGTACTTTGGCCTATTCTAGAGTTTTTTGACCCTTCATCTGGGCTAGCTGGCGCTGGCCTCAACAGGCAGGCATCTCAAACAGAGCAGCAGCTCCCTGGTCCTGTTCCTTAGGGAGGTGGGGGTTTGTTTTTGCTCAACTTCCTGCTTCAAGGTTGCCTACTCCTGGCTCAGGGCTGTTAGTGGCACGTTAGCATTTTAAAAACCAAAGGTGTTGTCAGCATCACCAGCTGCGCTACTCCCCTGCTTCTGTTTTAGATAGCAGCTACAGCCCAAACTCCGTGTGGCTTGGCTGTAGAGGCTAAAGTAAAGCATTAAGTGTTTGCTCAGTGGTACTATTTTGGATCATCAAGTAAAGCTAAAACGAGTTCAGAGTTAGGCTGAGGTCACCTCTCTAGTAACCAAAGACTCTTCCAAGTTACAGACAACTGGCGTCGGTAACGTGTTGTACCTGTCTCCTCTCCTCTTACTTGTAAAATCAGTAGCTGAAGAAGAAAGAGCTCAACCGTGAGCAGCCCTGTCCAGTTGTACTGGAGTTCGGCAGCTTCAGCTGTGTCCTGGCAGTTACGGGCTTCTAGGTTAAGCTGTACTTACGTGTGCTTGCAACACGCTTCGGGTTCCTAGCAGTCCATAGTGCAGGTTGTTGCCGTGAAGGACCCAGTGCCTCTCCCTTCCTTGTGTGATAAGCTGGGGAGGGTGGACAGGAAGTCCTCTGAACCGTGCTGTTTCTCCAGCACCCTGTACTTTGGCACTTACTGCACATCCCTGGGCTGTCCATGGCTTTCTGAGCATCTGTAACAGACCTGCTGCCCTTGAAGGGGTCTAGAGCTGCGCCACATAAAGCCCTTCAGTCCCCCCGTGCTACACCAGCCCAGTGCTGCAGAACACGCTGCAAACCCTGCTTGCTTCATTAACACCAGAGAGCTGGCTCTCTCCTGCGAGGCAGGAGGGAGAGGCCATCATCATCCTCGGCTTTCCCCCCCTCCCCGAGCGCAGGGGAGACTCCAGCAACCCAGTGCTGGCTGCTCAAACCAACCCCAGCCGTGCCCTGGGGTGCAAGGGCAGGTTCAGCTCCGGGAGGGGGACACGCGTTGACACCAGCGCTAAGCACCTGACAGATCACATCTACGTGATTAACTTCTCTGTACATAGATTCTTAACTGGCTTCAGGATTTCCTCTTTCAGGTTTTGCAAACTTAAGTTCTTAAAAAAAAAACCCACCAGGGGATGATTTTTTTTA